AGCACATAGCTACAACTTTTTCGATAGCAATGATACGTGTCTTAGTAGTTGCCATGACCTATAGATCCTCGTAAATCTCCAATTGATATTAGCATCATCGTCATACACATGAGCATTTATATGATTCCAAAAATTATACTCCCTCTGTTCCACAATAACTGTTTAAAATATTTTTGTTCCATATTATTTGTCACTTTAGATTTCCAATACCTCATTAAATGCATTTTTCCTGTTTTAATCTTATTAATTCAACTATAAATATTAACTCTCTCTTATCACATTATTAAATACTCAAGGTTATTTTAGTCTTTCTAATATATTTTACCTAAAATCAAGACACATTTATTGAGCTTCTTAATCCTTGTGCAAAACAAAAAACGACACATAATAGGGAACAGAGGGAGTAACTCATTTTCTAGCATATAACTTTCTCAAATAAGATCTACGAGATGTTCCCTGTAACCATTGACAGTTCCAGGCGAGACAATTCATGGCGATTGGTTAGGCTACACCACAGCCACCACCATTGGAGTATTTGCGACATAAAAATAAAAACTATGATCTAATAAGCCATTATCAGTAATAAATATAGAGAAACACCTTCATCAAGAGAGAAGAGAAGCCTCTCATAAAGAGAGAAAAAAAAACACCTCTAATTTGTTAAAATTTAAAGATGTTTCTTTTTTTTTTTTGAATTTTTTACCAAACAAGTTATTAAATAATTTATAAGATGTTTTGAAGAGCTTATAAGTATAGCTACACACCCTCTTACTATTGTTAAAAAAATCGGGATACACCTTCCGTTTAACTAGCACCTCGTTAGATCCGACTAATTAAACTATAATAAATAATTCGTTTGTAATTTGATTTAATTTGATTTGTTGAATTTGATAATGATTTTATTTTATTTTTAGATTTATGATATAAAAAGAAAACACGTTAGTGTATCAATATCCATTGGTGTCTTAAACGTAGAGACCCACCATATTTATACATGTTGGACTTGATAATAAATTGGTCAAATAAGTTAGGCAAAGGCATTAAAGGAATATTCTAAACAAATAAGTGATCAACGTTTTGCCACTAACACTCTTGAATTGTGTGGCATTTAAGCCCTTCCTCTTTTTTTCCCACTGGTTTCTCCATTCAACTTAATAAATAACCTAGTTGCTCTGTTCAACTTAATAAATAAATAAAGGATTTTTTGTTTGATACGAGAAAAAGACTCCATTTGTTGTATTTGAAGACTCTAACTAAAGTAATCGGACTATATATTTATTATAGATTAATCAAAAAAAAAAAAAAACATTTATTTTATTTATTATTTTTCATGGTTGAAATATTTATTTTGGTTGTTTTTAATATTTATTTGTGTTATAAAAAAATAGAAAATAAAATATTTTAATATTTATTAGAATTTAAAATAATATGCAGATAAAAAAATAATTGTGGAAAATATCATACATAAACATTAAGCTATAATCAATACTATAGTATTACAAATTCACAAGTCAATATATAAAATAATTTTATAGCTCTCTACTCTATTGGATATGCTCTTGCAAAGTTTATTCACATTAAAAACTTGGTTAAATTACAACCAACCCCTGGGGTATGGTCAAATTATGAAAAAATCCCTCATGTTTGGATAATTACAACTACCTCTCAACTATAAATCTTCTTACATGTCCACCTTTATGGTTTTAAAATCAACATAATCTTCTAGATTATATGGAATATTCTCTAATTTGTACTCGTTTTGCCCAAAAATGTAGTTTCTGATGCACCACAATCTGATATATAAAAACAAAAACCACATCTTATGATCATCTTGTTTCAAACTGTGGAGCTCTTATGAAATAAAACAGGTACATAATTGAGAATATTCCATAAAATCTAAAAAATTCAACACAAACATGAGGGGTTTTTCGTAATTTGACCATATAGGGGTGGTTGTAATTTACCTTAAAAACTTCAAATATTATAAATAATAGTGGAGTCAAATTGAATAAATTTCAAAATAAAGCCTCCGTGCAAAATATAATAATAAATATAAATATAGGAGATAGTGATATTTAGAAGAATAAAAAGCAAACCCAAACTTGAAAGCAACCACCAAACCAAACAGATGATTTGTCAGTCAAAACAAAGTTAATATCACTGATATATGATGAAACTCAAAAAACTCGAGTAGTATAATTCTTCAGTATATACCTTCAATTGTAATCTTCTCTCTCTCTCTTCTTTCTCTCTCTAATTCCGCCGCCGCCGCCGACGGAAAAAATGGGTTTAATCCGGCGGAGCCGTTTGGTTTTCGCCGTCTTCGCCTATCTTCTAGTTTCCTCCGCCGTCTCTCACTCGTTCCCCTTCCCTAAAAAGGAAAAGCACAAAATCGAAGGCCCAATCAAAACCCTAGTAGTTCTCGTTATGGAGAATCGCTCCTTCGATCACATCCTAGGCTGGATGAAGCGCACCCGACCCGACATCGACGGCCTCACCGGATCCGAATTCAACCGGGTCAACGCGTCCGACCCGAATTCCCGACCCGTTTATGTCTCCGACGAGGCTTTCTTCATCGATTCCGACCCGGGCCACTCCATCCAAGCCATAAGGGAGCAGATATTCGGCGGCGCCGACACCTCCGCAAACCCTGCCCCGATGAACGGGTTCGTGCAGCAGGCCGAGAGCATGGAGGCCGACGGAATGTCGAAAACCGTCATGAGCGGGTTCAAACCGGAGTTGGTGCCGGTTTACACCGAGTTGGCAAACGAGTTCGCCGTTATGGACCGGTGGTTCGCGTCGGTTCCCGCTTCGACTCAGCCGAACCGGTTCTACGTTCACTCCGCCACCTCGCACGGCGCCTCCAGCAACGTGAGGAAAGACCTGATCAACGGGTTCCCACAGAAGACGATTTTCGACTCAATTGACGAAAATGACCTCAGTTTCGGGATATATTACCAGAATATCCCCGCCACTCTGTTCTTCAAGAGCCTTAGGAAGCTCAAGCACATCATCAAATTCCACGACTACGCGCTGAAGTTCAAACTCCACGCGAAAACGGGGAAGCTGCCGAACTACGTCGTGATCGAGCAGAGGTACTTCGACGTGGAGGTGTGCCCGGCGAACGACGATCATCCCTCGCACGACGTGGCGCACGGGCAGAAGTTTGTGAAGGAGGTTTACGAGACGCTTAGGGCGAGCCCGCAGTGGGAGGAGATGGCTCTTTTGATTACGTATGACGAGCACGGTGGATTTTACGATCATGTCCCTACCCCTGTTTCCGGTGTGCCGAATCCCGATGGGATAATCGGGCCTGACCCGTTTTATTTCAAGTTCGATCGGCTTGGTGTTCGTGTTCCCACTCTCTTGATTTCCCCCTGGATTGAGAAAGGCACTGGTATGATTTGCTTTGCTTTATTTCAATTATACATTTTATAGTTTATCGTGAAAAAATTATATTGTTTACGAATTATGGGGTTGGCCAGAACATCGTGACATTGTGTATACGAGAAAGAAGTTTTTTACATGAAGTAACTGCAATAGTAGAATGAATTTGTGTCGGAAATTTGAAGCTAGTTATTGTAGAACGTGATTTGTTAACTTGTATAATTTAATCGAAAAGGACGAACTTTTACCTTTGGTTTGGTCTGAAAATTTGGATCTTTAGTATTGAATTAGGATGCATCTCTTCAAATATTGAGTTGGTTAAACTGCAGGTTATCTTGTCCCACTTTTAAAGGATACCGATCCCGAAGATAAATGTGCAGTTAAAATCTCAATTCTTTTTGAAGTGTTTTTGCATGGATTCTCGTCACTGATACTACGTATTGACCAATTAATCTATCGGTTTTCGGAGATTGTAAACGTGCATTTGCCTGACTTTGTGAAGAGCATGTTCTTTTTATTCCCAAGCATACCTAACTGATTTTTGTTTTTCACATTTGTAATTGGATGAACGAGTATACGGTTAAGGGGAGACAAAAAACATACATCTTTTAACGAGTACTTCTGAGTGTTCAATTTCTTGATACGAAAGTAAAATCTATGATTCTCTCTTTAGAATATTATTCTCTACATTTTGTAATCTGATTTTTTTTTTTTTTTTTTTTGTGTGTGTGTGAAGTGATTCATGAACCGAGCGGTCCAACGACAACCTCGCAATTTGAACACTCGTCGATTCCTGCTACAGTAAAGAAGCTTTTTAATCTTAATTCGAACTTTTTGACTAAAAGGGATGCATGGGCTGGCACCTTTGAGAAATACTTCTATTTGCGTGACACTCCTCGGGATGACTGTCCAGGTCAGCACTTTTCCTTTGCTATGTTGTTAAGTTAGTCTATTGAGCTCTGTATGTAATTTTCAAACGAAAGGAGCTTTCTTGTTTGTGTTATTATATGCATTGTGTTCTGTTATTGAAGTGGCCTTGTCTGGATGGGTTAAGATAGATTTTCAATTTTCAGCACCTAATTTTGAAGTGATGAATTTCCAAGAGATATTCTGATGCTTCTATATTTTATCCGCGTGTCACCTATATACGAACGTAATGATTCTCTGTTAATGCATACTGATCTACCGATCCGACTATT